GTGTTGAGTCTATGGGCAGTGTTGAGTCTATGGACAGTGTTGAGTCTATGGGCAGTGTTGAGTCTATGGGCAGTGTTGAGTCTATAGGTAGTGATGAGTCTAAGGGTAGTGATGAGTCTATGGGTAGTGATGAGTCTATGGGCAGTGATGAGTCTATGGGCAGTGTTGAGTCTATGGGCAGTGTTGAGTCTATAGGTAGTGATGAGTCTATGGGTAGTGATGAGTCTATGGGTAGTGATGAGTCTATGGGCAGTGATGAGTCTATGGGTAGTGTTGAGTCTATGGGCAGTGTTGAGTCTATGGGCAGTGTTGAGTCTATGGGCAGTGTTGAGTCTATGGGCAGTGTTGAGTCTATAGGCAGTGATGAGTCTATGGGTAGTGATGAGTCTATGGGTAGTGATGAGTCTATGGGTAGTGATGAGTCTATGGGCAGTGTTGAGTCTATGGGCAGTGTTGAGTCTATAGGTAGTGATGAGTCTATGGGTAGTGATGAGTCTATGGGTAGTGATGAGTCTATGGGAAATGATGAGTCTATGGGTAGTGTTGAGACTATGGGTAGTGTTAGTCTATGGGCAGTGTTGAGTCTATGTATGGGTAGTGTTAGTCTATGGGCAGTGTTGAATCTATAGGTAGTGTTGAGTCTATGGGTAGTGATGAGTCTATGGGTAGTGATGAGTCTATGGGTAGTGATGAGTCTATGCGTAGTGATGAGTCTATCGGTAGTGATGAGTCTATGGGTAGTGATGAGTCTATGGGTAGTGATGAGTCTATGGGCAGTGTTGAGTCTATGGGCAGTGTTGAGTCTATAGGTAGTGATGAGTCTATGGGAAATGATGAGTCTATGGGTAGTGTTGAGACTATGGGTAGTGTTAGTCTATGGGCAGTGTTGAGTCTATGTATGGGTAGTGTTAGTCTATGGGCAGTGTTGAATCTATAGGTAGTGTTGAGTCTATGGGTAGTGATGAGTCTATGGGTAGTGATGAGTATATGGGTAGTGATGAGTCTATGCGTAGTGATGAGTCTATGGGAAGTGATGAGTCTATGGGTAGTGTTGAGTCTATGAGTAGTGTTGAGTCTATGGGTAGTGTTGAGTCTATGGGCAGTGTTGAGTCTATGGACAGTGTTGAGTCTATGGGCAGTGTTGAGTCTATGGGCAGTGTTGAGTCTATAGGTAGTGATGAGTCTAAGGGTAGTGATGAGTCTATGGGTAGTGATGAGTCTATGGGCAGTGATGAGTCTATGGGCAGTGTTGAGTCTATGGGCAGTGTTGAGTCTATAGGTAGTGATGAGTCTATGGGTAGTGATGAGTCTATGGGTAGTGATGAGTCTATGGGCAGTGATGAGTCTATGGGTAGTGTTGAGTCTATGGGCAGTGTTGAGTCTATGGGCAGTGTTGAGTCTATGGGCAGTGTTGAGTCTATGGGCAGTGTTGAGTCTATAGGCAGTGATGAGTCTATGGGTAGTGATGAGTCTATGGGTAGTGATGAGTCTATGGGTAGTGATGAGTCTATGGGCAGTGTTGAGTCTATGGGCAGTGTTGAGTCTATAGGTAGTGTTGAGTCTATGGGTAGTGATGAGTCTATGGGTAGTGATGAGTCTATGGGAAATGATGAGTCTATGGGTAGTGTTGAGACTATGGGTAGTGTTAGTCTATGGGCAGTGTTGAGTCTATGTATGGGTAGTGTTAGTCTATGGGCAGTGTTGAATCTATAGGTAGTGTTGAGTCTATGGGTAGTGATGAGTCTATGGGTAGTGATGAGTCTATGGGTAGTGATGAGTCTATGCGTAGTGATGAGTCTATCGGTAGTGATGAGTCTATGGGTAGTGATGAGTCTATGGGTAGTGATGAGTCTATGGGCAGTGTTGAGTCTATGGGCAGTGTTGAGTCTATAGGTAGTGATGAGTCTATGGGAAATGATGAGTCTATGGGTAGTGTTGAGACTATGGGTAGTGTTAGTCTATGGGCAGTGTTGAGTCTATGTATGGGTAGTGTTAGTCTATGGGCAGTGTTGAATCTATAGGTAGTGTTGAGTCTATGGGTAGTGATGAGTCTATGGGTAGTGATGAGTATATGGGTAGTGATGAGTCTATGCGTAGTGATGAGTCTATGGGAAGTGATGAGTCTATGGGAAGTGTTGAGACTATGGGTAGTGTTGAGTCTATGGGTAGTGTTGAGTCTATGGGTAGTGTTGAGTCTATGGGTAGTGTTGAGTCTATGGGTAGTGTTGAGTCTATGGGTAGTGTTGAGTCTATGGGCAGTGTTGAGTCTATGGGCAGTGTTGAGTCTATAGGTAGTGATGAGTCTAAGGGTAGTGATGAGTCTATGGGTAGTGATGAGTCTATGGGCAGTGATGAGTCTATGGGCAGTGTTGAGTCTATGGGCAGTGGTGAGTCTATAGGTAGTGATGAGTCTATGGGTAGTGATGAGTCTATGGGTAGTGATGAGTCTATGGGCAGTGATGAGTCTATGGGTAGTGTTGAGTCTATGGGCAGTGTTGAGTCTATGGGCAGTGTTGAGTCTATAGGCAGTGATGAGTCTATGGGTAGTGATGAGTCTATGGGTAGTGATGAGTCTATGGGTAGTGATGAGTCTATGGGCAGTGTTGAGTCTATGGGCAGTGTTGAGTCTATAGGTAGTGATGAGTCTATGGGTAGTGATGAGTCTATGGGTAGTGATGAGTCTATGGGAAATGATGAGTCTATGGGTAGTGTTGAGACTATGGGTAGTGTTAGTCTATGGGCAGTGTTGAGTCTATGTATGGGTAGTGTTAGTCTATGGGCAGTGTTGAATCTATAGGTAGTGTTGAGTCTATGGGTAGTGATGAGTCTATGGGTAGTGATGAGTCTATGGGTAGTGATGAGTCTATGCGTAGTGATGAGTCTATGGGTAGTGATGAGTCTATGGGTAGTGATGAGTCTATGGGTAGTGATGAGTCTATGGGCAGTGTTGAGTCTATGGGCAGTGTTGAGTCTATGGGTAGTGATGAGTCTATGGGTAGTGATGAGTCTATGGGTAGTGATGAGTCTATGGGTAGTGATGAGTCTATGCGTAGTGATGAGTCTATGGGTAGTGATGAGTCTATGGGTAGTGATGAGTCTATGGGTAGTGATGAGTCTATGGGCAGTGTTGAGTCTATGGGCAGTGTTGAGTCTATGGGTAGTGATGAGTCTATGGGAAATGATGAGTCTATGGGTAGTGTTGAGACTATGGGTAGTGTTAGTCTATGGGCAGTGTTGAGTCTATGTATGGGTAGTGTTAGTCTATGGGCAGTGTTGAATCTATAGGTAGTGTTGAGTCTATGGGTAGTGATGAGTCTATGGGTAGTGATGAGTCTATGGGTAGTGATGAGTCTATGCGTAGTGATGAGTCTATGGGTAGTGATGAGTCTATGGGTAGTGATGAGTCTATGGGTAGTGATGAGTCTATGGGCAGTGTTGAGTCTATGGGCAGTGTTGAGTCTATGGGTAGTGATGAGTCTATGGGTAGTGATGAGTCTATGGGTAGTGATGAGTCTATGGGTAGTGATGAGTCTATGCGTAGTGATGAGTCTATGGGTAGTGATGAGTCTATGGGTAGTGATGAGTCTATGGGTAGTGATGAGTCTATGGGCAGTGTTGAGTCTATGGGCAGTGTTGAGTCTATGGGTAGTGATGAGTCTATGGGAAATGATGAGTCTATGGGTAGTGTTGAGACTATGGGTAGTGTTAGTCTATGGGCAGTGTTGAGTCTATGTATGGGTAGTGTTAGTCTATGGGCAGTGTTGAATCTATAGGTAGTGTTGAGTCTATGGGTAGTGATGAGTCTATGGGTAGTGATGAGTCTATGGGTAGTGATGAGTCTATGCGTAGTGATGAGTCTATGGGAAGTGATGAGTCTATGGGAAGTGTTGAGACTATGGGTAGTGTTGAGACTATGGGTAGTGTTGAGTCTATGGGTAGTGTTGAGTCTATGGGTAGTGTTGAGTCTATGGGTAGTGTTGAGTCTATGGGCAGTGTTGAGTCTATGGGCAGTGTTGAGTCTATGGGCAGTGTTGAGTCTATGGGTAGTATGTATGTTGATATTCTTTTGCACCGTACCTCGCCAACCGTGCTAATCGAAGGTACGACTACGTGGAGGTGGCAAATTCCCCGCTCATTTATTCTGTTACTTGAATTCTCCGCAGAGGAAGCCAACGATTATATATCGCTTCATCAATTAAGTTGCGTGCAATTAAGAGACAATGGGCCGGGATTTTAGTTTCCGTGTTGAAAGAGTGGCTGGCCCCGCCCCGCCTTGAGCCTTGGCAAGTTTCAGGATGCTTCTCTACGTTTCATTTGCAGTGGGTGACAGCGCCGGAAGGTGAGGGGGAGGGAGGGGTGAAAGCCAGTCCCTAAACAAACGCCGAGCAAGTCAAAAAACGACCCTGCCTGAAGACCTCGGGGCCCGGGCAACCCATTCACGTGCGAGGTCCAAGATGAACGAGATGTGAAGAGGGGGGGGCGGGATGGGGAATTAGCAGTAGGCATGGGGAGAGATTACCAAGAGGGAAGAGGAACGGCAGTAGTGGTTGGAAGGGGGAGATTGCGGGGTCGTTTGGAGCTGGGGGAATAAAAGTGACTTTTGAGGCAGGAGCGGTGGGGGTTGGCGGATCGCACGTACGTTGTGAAACTCTCTTCCCGTGGTAGTCAAGCTGCCATAACCTGGCTTGCCAGAAGGACAGCACAGGGAAAGTGTGGACCCCACAATTTTCCAGTCTGTACGGGATAAAGCGTTGCCCCCTCGCACACGTGTGGGTTTTCTCCGGGTGCTTGGCCAATTGGTGGCGCCAGTGGCTCACCGCGTGGCAGCCGTCTCTCCGGCTCGTCCGTGGTGCCTCCCTCGCGCCTCGGATTAACTGTGCGGCGGCGCATTACAAGGCTGAAACTATTATTACTGTTATTATTGTTATCGTCGTTCAAAGGTGACGCGGACACCGTGGACGAGGTTGGCAAACGTGCGTGAGGGCGTGACCCAAGGATACAACTTCTGGATGAGGTGGTAGGCATGCTTGTAGTTCTGGGTGAGGAAGCACAGAGACACGGTCGCCACGGGGTTGTGGCACCAGGAGCGGTACAGCGAGCAGAACAGGGCACGGCTCTCCTGTGGGCAAAGGGGGCGGGGCGACACCACAGTCATCTCAACAGACACAGTTCCGCCCCCCGCGTAGCCTCTGACAAGACTGGTCGACCCGCGTACGATTCTCGCTCAGGGTCACCAACAACAGTGACGACGATCTTGAGCCGGTAACGGGCCTCCCCAAGGTCGACTCGGCTTCATTTGGGTACCTGGTGCGGTGTGTAGTAAACATCGCCACTGGGGTGGCAAAGGCGGCCGGGCGTGGTGCTGACCACCCACCCCCTCCGTCTGCCGTGACGGCCTCCATAGGCGCTCGCTAACAGCACTTGACCCAACAGTTAGTTGCAGGCTACACGGGGGATCTTTGTCTTTGTTTTTGTTCGCCACCGTGCGCACGGCGGGAGCTACGCGGCGCGACGGCCGGAAAGCGAGAACCGACATCCGTCACAAAAAAATAAAATATAAGCCCCCCCGTCCGTATGTGTCACTCACGAAAGGGCGGGGCAGGCCTCGACCCTCCCGCAACTCGAGATGCGCTCTCTGCTACCGGGGCAGCACCGGGGCAGCTCCCAAAGCGACGACGAAATAGACGAAGCCCCCCACCCCCACCACAGTGCAACGCGAACGCCCACCCCCCACTAAACTAACGCGACGCACCGTGCTCCCACCCTAAAGCAATCGCGGCTCCCTCCCTCCCGTCGCCACCACCACCATCAACCACCCGCCCGATACAATGAGTAAGTCCAGTCACAAGAGGGGGGGGGAGGAGGGGATAAGCACAAGGAATGCCGCCACCCCCCCCCCCTCCACCGTCCCCCGGGGATGGACGCGAGTTAATTACCGCCCTACGGGACAATGACAGGTTGCACACAACTTAATTGACGATGACAGGTTGCACACAACTTCATTGATGAAGCACCAAGCGTATGTAAGTTATTCCTTCCTAGGTGCTCCTCCCTTTGCTTTTTCCATTCCCCGCTCCCCCCTTCTTCCCTCCACCGCTCCCTTACTGAAGCTCTCCGTTCCCCTACCTTCCCCTACCCACGGACGAGTACTTCGCACACCCCACGCGCGGTCCCCACACGGTGGGGCAGCGGAGCCCAATCTCCTCCCCCTCCCCCCCAAGTTCTGGAGCATAGCAGAGTTTGGGACTTGTTTCCATGGAGCTTCTGTACCACCCCCCCCCACCACCTATGTAGTGGTTCGTACTCTGTAATGGGCTCCTACAAATAAATATATATACACACACAGTATGCTTAAAAAATGTTAACACTTACATGGGACTATCGTTTTTAATGGAAAGAGGGATAATACACCCTAACATGATAACAAATGTATGTTAATAGCTCCAAAGAGTCTCCCACTTGTTTCGCCATAATTGTCAACACGTGCCTGGAATCATCTCCAGGTGGTCTCCAAAGCCCGGAGGCGGCAGCACATTTCTTGCGGTATTGTTGCAAATCCTCAGAGGTGTAAACGTTTTTTTTTTATGCAAGCACCCTGTACATAATAATAATAATAACCATTAAATAATTTTAACAAGCTGGTCAAGCTAGGGGGGGTGTTTGCGAGGGTGCGTGAGCGAGGCCTCACGGCGGTGTGCAGGTCCTTGAGCTGGGTTCGTAGCTCGAAGAGCTCGGTGGACGTGAGCAGGATGGAGTTGAGCGTCTGCACCATGGTGGAGGCAAAGCGCAGGTCGCCCTCCGCCAGAAGGATCTCCGCCATGGCCTGGAAGATGTTCTCCGCGTTGAGCAGCAGGCACAGCTGCCTGTTTCGCAATCAGAAGCAGAACCTTTATTTGTACCGGAGGAATCCGATGAGCTATAAAGGTAGATTTTTTTTTTTTCACAGATGTCAAGTAGGGGCAGGTCAGGGCGCCACGGTGGCGAGATGTTAACTACCTCGCCTGGTATACAAGGTCATGGATTCGATTCCGACCCTGACGCCTGCTGTATATTTGGAGTTTGCACGTCTCTCTCCCCGTGGTCGTGTGGATTTTTTTTATCTCCCGTTCCTCCGGGTTTTCCCTCCACATTTAGAAACATGCGTTTAGATTATTTATATTATTTGACTGCTATACATTTACACACCATGACGAAAAGCCACTTCGTTGAGCTATCATGTGGCCAGGAAGGTCGCTTCTTGAAAAAGAGCTACATAGCTCAGTGGGCCTTGCCTGCTTAAAAAAAATGATCTCGTCGTGGATAAATGTGAATAATGGGATCCGTGACAAGCACCCCCCACATCACCAAGGATAAGATCCCATTCACCGCATTTGAACAGCAAAAGCATGATCATCAATACATTTCTTCCCGCGAATAAGATCACTCCAAGAGCAGCCAAGACATAGGCGCCGTGAACTCGGTTTGAGGTGAAGCCGTTAAAATTTTAATGCGCACTCAAACTTTGGCTCGGCGCGCGCCATTAGCGAACGGGGGCACCGTGGTGGGGTGGGCGAAAGGGGAGCGCGAGGGGGGGGGGCACAAGGGAGCGGGCGGGCGGGGGGGGGGGGGGGGGGGGGGGCCTGCGGAGAGGAGCCGCGGGGAGGAGGCTTCGCTCGCGCGTGCGTACTTGGGGCGACTCGGGGAGGGGGCGACTCGGGGAGGGGGCGACTCGGGGAGGGGGCGACTCGGGGAGGGCTCGCCAAGGCGACGGCAACAGCGACAGCTCTCGTCCCGCACCGGGGGAATCGGGGTGACGTTCCCCGCAGGCGCGGCGGGCTGCCGGGTGACCTACTTTTCTCCCCCCCCCCCCCGCCCACCCCTTAACCGAGCCATGACCCATCTGCCGGGTAAACAGGGGCCTTCCTCCCCACTACACCGCCGCCCTTCACATCTCTCCCCTTGGCACAACGTAACGCCAATCGTCGTTCACCAACCGCGCGGTGTTGGCCGCGAGCGGGAATCGAACTCGGGTCGCCGGGTTCATAGAGCAGTGCGCTCGCCGCTCCGCACAATGACACAACAACAACCGCCACTAAGCGGCGGTGATGTGACCGTGGCGCTCGCGCCATGCTAGGTGCACCTTGAGGCCACGTGAAGTGTCGAAGGCTCGCTGCTGGCGAGAGGTCCAGGAACAGACCCAGGTGCCATGGGTTGACCAACTGCGATGGCTGGCAGATGCACCGACTGCGTCCCATGCTGTGTCTCACGCTGTGTCAACGCTGTGTCAACGCTCTGCGCTTTAGCCACCCCGATGCTCCGCTTGTTGTTGTGAGCCATCACTCCTCTGCCCTCTGTTGTTGATGGAGGGCGACTGCCTCCAACTGCCCGGTAGCAGTGTCCTTCACGAGCCTTCTCCCCGCCCCAACCCCCTATTGTCAGACAACAACCGTGGGCCTGCTTTGATTCGCATAACTCTGGCCCTGTTAAATACTTTCAATGATTATCACGTCTTGAATAATGACGGTGGGTTTTTAATCAGTCGAGCGATATTCAGACTTTGTGCCGAGCTCACCAAACCTTCAACCCGTACTGCTGACCAGCGTGGTGAAGTATGGTCAAGGGCACCCATGACTGACATAGGCGTGGGGAGGTCTTCATCTGGCAATGGATTGACAAAATGGCTGGAATTTGTTTAAATTATTACAAATGTATGCATGTGTGATGCTTCGTATGATGAGGTTGACCATATGTAACGAGCTGTGATTTAAATTTAGACATGCGAGTAAACTGGTTAAAGGGTTCCGCGCCCATGCTAGTTCCCCATGGGGAGACCTACATCCATCAGTGGATGGACCAAGGGCTGTCAATTTTAAATCGTGTTAGGCTATGAAATACCGTTGGAGCTAGCCAAGTAAGTTATTACACGCATTACTGCGGATTAAGCGGGCATTGACAGCTTGTACTATGTACGGCTTATATGCTGCATATTAAGCATCCCTAAATGCAGGTCAAATTCCTGAGCGGAGAAGTAACATTTGAATATATTGTTGCGACCCAGTCGCAATAATACAAAAAAATCCATAATTTAACTTGCAGTATTTGAGATCATATTTGATCATACTCTTGTGTAAAAAAAAAAGTGAGTTTAATTTCCGTGTTAAACTCCGCCGTTCGTTTTCGGACGGGATTCCCGACGTGGATTTTTGCCATCAGGAGGATCGCGTTTGAAAACGCGATCATATTGCGAGTCCAGCTTAGCTACACGCTTCAGATAGACGGAAACGTGGCCAAGCAGCGCCGATTCCCAGCCAGGGAAAAGAGCGATCCAGGCCGATTTCAGGCGGCCAGAATTGGGTCAGCGGAACGCACGGCCAATGGAATAATTCCCACCCCCAAGTCCCGGGGCGTGGCCTCAAAGCAACACGGGAGGGCCCACGAAGACTGTTTTGTAAGAAGCATTGCATGAGTTGGTAGTGCGCATTATTGATAACAATAATTCGCTAAAACGTACGCAGTGTCTGCTCGCTCTCGTAGAGGGAGGGGACGACGAAGAGGCGTGGGGAGAAACCACAAATGAGTGGCAAAGGCAGCAGCCAGGCAGTGAGCTGGTGCCAAATTTCCCCACCCCCCCCCCCCCAAAAAATTTTCAGTCCTCTATATATGAAGGTGTTATCTGCCAATGAATGCGTGTTTACACTTGGGAGGAAACTGGAGCGCCCGGGGGAAAAAATACACTTATGCGAGGGAGCAACACTGTATCCCACTACAGGTTGAACATGCGGAGCTCACACTTGCTGCAACCCAACCTCCTCCTGCCGAGCCAGGGTAGGGCACCTCCGATTTAGCACGGATGGCTACGTACGGTGCGAAAGAAGTTCAACATACATAGAGCCCACACTAGCTGTCATCCAACCTTCTCCTGGTGAGTCAGGGTAGAGCACCTCGGATCAGCTCAGTTGGCTACGTACAGTGTGGCACCTCCTCGACACCCACGGGAAGGGAGTTTTGCAACATTTGTGCAATCCATCAACCCTCGCTCCTGCCTCCACAGCGCTGGATTCGAGGCCACTTTGCATAGCCACTACCGCCAGGCATTCATTTGAAGTTTAAATGACTGCAGTGACACAGCTTCGAAGCTACAAGAGTCTTGCGCAAACCAAGCAGCCACCGATGAGGCTCTATTGAAACCTACAGCCAGGAATATATTTTCCAAGACTACTTGTCACATCACCCCCCTGGGGCCTTAATGTTGGCCCTCAGGTAACTCATTGACAAATGTAATTAACAAGTGACTTGAAGAAATATCGTAAACCGAGTGACCATTAGAGGATTCATGGTTCACAGATTCCCCCCCCCCCACCCCCCACTATTCCGTGAATTGTCTGCAGTTCAGGACTGCGATTCAGAATCGGAATATTTATTCATACTGGAGGAATCCGATGAGCTATGAAGCTCTTTTTCACAGATGTCCAGTCGGGGCGGGTAAGAACGCTGCAACACCAAATAGCGCAAAAACACGATAGGAGTGCAAAGCACAAGAAAGGTAAAGAAATGACCCCAAACACGTACAAATACAACTAAACTAAACCACCCCCCATCTTACGAGGCAAAGCCCACCGAGGTAAGAATCAGAAAACGTCGAAGCTCACGCACGTCGCGCGACCTTTCGGAGTCCAATCTTCTAGCGCGCGACGGGAAAACGCCGTCTTCACGGGAACGTTCCAGGATTGGCGATCATCTCAACGGCCTGCCCCCCCCCCCCACCCGCCTGACAGATCTGTGGTGGGCAGGGTGGACGTGATGCGCTTCCACGCTCTACGACTCGTGGCCGCGGTCGTGCTTTTGGGGGTCGCATCCCTCCACCTTCCACCTCGCGAAGCAGGCGCCCGCCGCAAAAGCCAACATGTTAAAATGCTGCCCAGTATAGCACGCTAGTTATCTTACCGCACTGGCTACTGGCAACGCCATTGGGTCGCGGTGCCAGGGTTGGGTTGGCGTGCGTCGCGTTGTGGACGACGCCAATCCAAAAATTGCCTCGCGCACGCCAATAAAAGGCCTCAATACAAAGCGCGCGATATTCCAAAAGCGCGTAAAGCGAGGATTGCCTGTACATACGTACGTCACCGCCCAACCTCAATGCAAACAATACCACAGCGTACGAGCATTCTCAGCAGAGCGAACAGACAGCGTCGAAGTCTTTTCAAGTATAAAGCATAAAGCAGTTCTCAGCACCGCTCGAACAAAAAATTAGAAGCGGGAGTCAAAACAGTTAGCCTCAAATGGCCAGCGTTAAGCGCTGGTCAAATGCTTAGGTTGGATCAGTCCAAGCGCCATCCCGCCCGACACAAATCGTGGAATCGTTAATCCGATCACGTCACGGGTATCCAGAACCGCGGCGCGGTCGCAGAGCGTCAAATGTGGCACGCAAACCGTGGAGGTGACGCGGGGGGGGGGGGGTTGCCCGCGGGCGGAACCAGACGCCCCTGTCCTCTCTGGTCATCGCTCACGGCAGCCCCTGCTGTGGGCTCGCAATAAATCAGAGTAACGAAGCAACGGGGAGGAGGGGGGGGGGGGGCGAGATAATCCTCAATCGAGATGCGGGTTGGCGAAAGTGGCCTTGTTCTTTGATTTATTTTTACCGGGGAACCCTACACGTCGGGACGACGAGGAGGGCGGCGGCGGCGGTTATTGGTCGCCGAGAGGAAGAGGCAAGAGGGTCACGACGAGCAAATGGCGAGTGCACGAATCCAACGCGTGAGGCTTTTCAGGACCGATGTTCTTGACGACGAGGTTTATTTCGAGGTTGGATAGCGTAAAACGTAAACGTGTCGTATAACCCGCCACACGTTCACTCGACGCAGACGATTAGTGAGGTTCGTCACGCGGAACAGAACGTGCCGATTTTGGTACTACTTCAAGCACACCCGTGGGTTAGAGGGTAAATGTTAACAGCGACGCACAGGAACGCAGTAAACGTGGAATGTTGGCCCAACGTTGGTCCAACGGTTCCAACCATATCCCAACGTTGGCCCAACGTTGCATGCTTACAGGGTAAAAGTAGTGCCACCATTGTCAGCTCACGAGGACTCAGTCTCTTGTTAGGGTTAGGATTGAAAATTGTAGTCCCTTTTCTCCTCCTTCTGCCTTGCTAAGAATTTAACCCAACAGCAGCTATTTGGCCACATTGAAAATTGTAGTCCCTTTTCTCCTCCTTCTGCCTTGCTAAGAATTTAACCCAACAGCAGCTATTTGGCCACATTCTTTTTGACTAAAACCATCACAAACTTAAATTACATTCATCGTGGACAAATATCATTTAACCCCATAGCAATAATGTATTCCAGTGGCTTGAAAATAATTAAGCAAAATCTACCTCCAACTGATTACATTTTACACCTTTACACCCACAAAGACTCCAAATAAATACGTTAATCTGAATCAAATCAGGGCCATTGAAAATAATGTTGATTCGTACATTCGACAGTTGTCTTTATCACCACATGTACTTCACTTTGGGATGAACACAGATGCAAATACATGTATTTCTGTCTTCAGGGTTCCACCCAACGGGATAAATACCGTGGTGCGAGTGCGTTCAGGAGAGATGCCACCATTGAGAAGGAGACATGCCGCCCTCGACAGAGATCTCTGCCACTGTCAATTTAATAAAGCCATCGTTGCTTTGTCACTTCAAAGGGATGACGAGAGCACGCTCTGCTAGACATGTGCAGCTATGACTTTCTCTAAATGCACCGATTTCCTCGTCAATTACTTCAACTCTGTCTCTATTATCTAATCCTCACCACCCCATGCTGAAAGGAGTGTTTTATCGTCGTGAAATTGTCAGTCGCGTGCGAGCGTCTTATTATTTGGAGTGTGGCCACGGTGGCTGTGTGGTAGCAGGGCGTGCGGTCTCGCTGCGCGTGCTGTGAGGCTGCTGTGCCGTGTGCACGCATGCTGAACTTCTTTTTCACCATACATAACCAACCGTGCTCATCGGAGGTGCGGGGGAAAGACCACAAACTAAACACAAAAAGCAGTTCAAAAGAAACGAGTTTTCAATCAGGATTTAAATCTAGATTTCAAAAGTGCATACGCTCCAGTGTCTGCATTGTCAGCTGTGCCGCAGAAGGGGCACGCATTTTCGCCGCGTGCTCACGGCGGAGGTACCGGATGATGAAGGCTCCACGATGCTCCAGGAGTCGAGGCTCGGTGCCAAAGCACTGGAGCAGCTTGACCATGAAGCGATGGAAGTAGGAGTTCATGGAGGGAGACAGCGGCGATCGGTCTGTGGCCTTCCAAGCTGCCGAGCCTGCGACGGTGGGGGAAGGAAACCCGAGGGTCGGCGGAGGGCGGGAAGAGTGGGCGGCGCACGTTGGCATTCGAAGCTTCGCAGAATCGTTGACGCAACAAGTTAACGTGCGCGTGAACATTCGCAAGCGCGTTCCACAAAGCTTTGCGACAGTTGCCAATTGCTTAACGGCCGCTGGGAAGTGAAGAATATTCTGCCGCTTTGGAGATGATGGTTAAAACTTAACAAAAAAAGTTATTTCACCAGGTAAGGCCCGCTGAGCTATATAGCTTTTTTTCAGAAGCGACCTGGCCACAAATGATAGCTGAACGAAGTGGCTTACTGTGTGGAAATTTATAGCAGCCGAATACTCTAAACGCGTGACGTTGATTCTAAATGTGGAGGGATAAACAGAAGGACCCGGAGAAAATTCCACGCGACCACGGGGAGAACATTCAAACTGGAAATATAAAGGCATCAGGGTCGGTATCGAACCCACGTCCTCCTGCATACCAGGCGAGGTAGTTAACATCTCCTAGCCACCGTGGTGCCCAAAAACCTCAAATCTTTTTAAAAATAATTTTATGTAAGACAGCCAAAGAAATGGGCACAACAATACGCAGTGTTGACAATGGCTTGTTACTTGCCAAGTAAACATTTATCGATCGGGGGCTGTGAATTCGCAGGCGAATTTCAACGCCTGCGAATGGCTTCTGACGAAAAAAAAAAAGCCGCTTTCAGCATCTAAATTTTTATTCCATGTCACACGACGGCTACTTTGTTTTCCTGAAACAACACCTTAAAATGTTTACTTAAAGCCTTCGCGACTGCATGGATTAATATTCTTGGTTCTTTCGGTAAAGTCACGTAGAAGGGAAACAATAAAATAATAAAAAAACACCTTAAAATATTATACTTTAAACGCCACTGCTGTTTAGCACATTACCATCGATGGATTGCATTACCTTTAGTTGCCTCTTGAAAGAAAGTTTGACTGCCCACATCACGACAAGATAATAAATCATTTACCACATTTACGAGCTGAACACGATGGCTTTTACAAGTTATTAAAGCCCTACCGACGCAGAAACATAAACATTACTGTTGTATGACACGGTTACACAACTTGTTCGCGACGAGATTATATCCTGCTACAATGAGGGTAGATAAAGAATACAATTCCATTTCAAAGTACTCCCTCTGCAGGCTGCCGGCTGATTTGCCGTTTAATCTCTCTACGCGTGCCTCCAAGTATTTATTTAATAACCACACGCACGTGTTGGCCGTGTCGAGACACCAATGCAGCATTTCCGTTCCAACGGGAATGAAAACAAGAATGAAAATGCCAAGAATTATTGAGAAGGAGGAGCCTTGTTGGGTCTCGGGACGCTTCTTCAGGAGGGCCACCCAGCCCCCCCCCCCACCCCTGCTGCACTGGGATGCTTGGCCAAGTCTATCAATGAGTGTTTATGTCCTATTCACATTCTTGGTTCTTTCGGTAAAGTCACGTAGAAGGGAAACAATAACAAAAATATCAACGTGGCTTTATCAAAAGACTCAAAGAATAACAATAAAATACAAATGAAGTGAATAAAAAAAATCAAGACGTTTCGATCGCAACACAAGCAATCGCGAAAAAAAGAGAAAAAACCCCATTTTTTTCTCCTGATGACGATTGCTTGTGTTGCCATCGAAACGCCGTGATAAGTATTTTAGAATTATTTTTCATTCACTTTATTTTTATTATTTTATTGTTATTATTTTTTCTTCTTCTATCTACGTGACTTTACCGAAAAGACCCAAAGAATATTATTAAAGATGATTTCTAATTTATCCAGCAGTCACACTGAGCCTTGGGACTCTTTTTTCCGAAGGGTCTCACTAAATTTGGTTCTTACCTTAAGATGTTTTTTTTTTCAGCCAATTAATGACGAGTCGTGTTTATTACATATGCATTATGGAGGGGGCAACGCTCTATGCCCTATACAGATGGAAACAGGTGGCGATTAGTCCACTTGCTGTACTGCCTTCTCCTGGTCGAGCAAGGATATAAGCACCTTCTCGACACCCACGGAAGAGGAGTTTCACCAACACCTGTGCAATAAGCCACCAACCCTTGCCTGCACAGTGCTGGACTACAGGCTGCATGCATAGCCACCAACGCCGGCCGCGTGGGACTGAACCTGGGGGGGTATTCGGGAAAAAACCCACACTTTTTTCCTGGGCTCCTTCACAGCCCCCCCTGCCCTGACACCTACAACACCTGGCAAGCCCTAGTGGGCTCAGTCACGCAAGTCCTCACCAGGCTCGATCTTGCTCAGGCTCTGAGATCCGGCAGGGTTTGGGGGCGTATTCGGTGACTTGGTCCAAGGCGTTTGGGCCACGTGTTCACAGAGAGAGGCATATTATCTCGCAATAAGCGCCTCTAGTATTCAATATCGAAGGTATTAACATTGCATGCGATCTTTGTGTTCTTACGCGAAGGCCGTTGCCAGGATGACTTGGCATGCGCAGGCAAGCTCCTGCACGTAGCCATCAACAAAGCGAGGCTGTCTGCTGGAAGCTGCTCTGCATGCACTGTGTTATGCCGTGTGTGTGTGTGAGAGCGTAAGAGTGCAGCGGTTAACACGGTGAGCTACAAACCCGGCGACCCCAGATCGATTCCCGCTCATGACCAACATTAGTGCCAACTATCTGAACAGGTCCTGGGCCTCCCCCAGGTCAACTCGGCCTCAAATGAGTACCTGGTGCGGTGTGTAAACATCGCCACTCGGGAGAAAAAGTGGCCGGGCGTGGTGCTGGCCATCCCACCCCCTCGTGTGCCATGCCGACCTTCGTAGGTGCAACTCGCAAACAGCACTTGCCCCAACAGTCTGTTAAATGCTGGGGGGGGGGGGGGGATTTTTGTCTTTGTTGTTTTAGCTATGGGAGGAAATTGGAGAAGGTGGAGGAAACCCATGCAGAACAGGGGGAGAACGCACAAAACTCCACACACAATGCCCACAAACAAAGGGGTCGTGTGATTCCAAAGTTCATCGAGGACCGTGCCGCCAGCGGTCTTTCGAAATGGAGAGCCGGACTGCGCGACGTTCCCCTCCGCCCTAGTGGAGGACAAGAACTGCTCCCCTCCTCCGGTCCAGCAGCTGACACTGACCCTTTGGCATCTCTGTTGAGAAAAGCCTCGCTCGACTGAAGATTCTAAACGTTGCCGACTGCATATTCAAATACTCTCTAACCTTAAGCATTCGTGAGTTCAACATTCAAGCGAGGTTGCATTTAAATATATATTTTTTAAAGCTACACAATTGCTCCCGGAACATGCAGCGAATGGTCGGGACATCTTGCCTAAAAACACACGGTGGTACTACGACCAGAAAAAAAAAGACACGCATCAGAGCAGGGCCGTCCATAGTTGGGGGATGTGGGGCCCGGGAGAAACACACCGTGTGGGACCCCCCCCCCCCACAGGCGCCTTCAAACTAAACCGGACCTATTCCATCTGACACCGTGAAGTCAAAGCTCGGGGGGCCGCCCCCCCCCCCCCCCCCCCAAGCGCGGGGACCCGGGCGGTCACCCCCATTCGCCGTTACCCCTCAGGACAGCAACCTCTGAAGCCATCTGCACAACCACCCAAACGTTGCTATATTGGTATTTGGCAAAACACCAACTTGGTTCAAACACCAAATTGGTGTTTGACGACTCCGTCCCCCTTTGCCGCATCGTGATACACGAAACAGATTCATTTCGGACGACGTGGTGCCCGAACCACGTACCTCGCAGGTATTTAAACAGCATTTAAACAACAACACAGCTCAAGAGAAATCCCAGGGCGCCCTCTCCAACCCCCCCCCCCGCCGCCGTAGACAAATTCAATCTGGAAACTGAACCTTCATCCTCACTCCTGAGTAAGTCGGGAGCCCCACAGGCAGAGAGAGAAGCCACGGGGAGAGAGATCAATTGGTGCCAAACATCCAATCGCTCGCTTCTGTAGCAGGGCTGCATCGGTGTGGCTCGCGCCTTCTAAATTTAATTCGGAACAAGGCAAGTGGTTCTCAAACTGCGGTCCACGGACCACCTTTGGTCCACAAGGCCAACGGAAGTGATCAGCGGAGCCAGACTTTATACTCGCACGGCGAATCGAGAACATTTTCTGAAAGGTCGATTTTGTTGCCCGCGTGGTCCTGCAATGCTGAGAACCACCGGGATTGACCTACTCATTCACCGGGCACTAAAAAAAACACCATGGGCCCCCGTAATCCACACCGCAAAATCAACGCTTTCAGGGATTCGCCATAAAGCGGCATATCAGTACCAAAACGCAACGCACCGATAAATTAAGCAAATAAAATGAGCAAATACTGCGTTAACTTCGCATATAAATCTGTTCCTCCGCTTAAAAAAAAATAACCTGCAGCACGGGTCGTGGAAGCTCAGCTCCCATGGCGGTTGCAGAAATCAATCGGTTTAACTCTCCACAAAGACCCGGAGACATGACTTCGCTGTCGATACAACGTAGCAGATTACCGTAGCCGCTTAACGACACGGCTAGTTTCCGTTGATAAAACAAAATGCAACTTTGATTTTTAATTCAGAATGCACTGTGAAGGACCGACTAATGCTGCAAATTAAACCAGAAGCAAAGGGAGTAATAAACGGCTGACTTGGGAAATCCATACGAACTCTCGTTTAACTTTCTAGAAACTCAACGTGGTGGAGAGATGAAAACAGTTTCATTTGAAGAGAACTGCCATTTCAACAAAGCCCCTGCGTACCATACGTGCCCACAGTAAATAAGACGTGCTCGAATCCCGCAATTGACTATGCCATCTGCTGGCATGCAACGTACACAGCAGCCTGATGGAACACGGCAAATTTAGGGCAATCACTGCCATGCAATCGTTACTCTTGCATCACCCACGGTCTTCTGCGTTACCCACGGTGACGAATACCCTCACGGTGCAGTCTCACGCAGTCACACGTCTCACTGGACTGACGATCGTTCATGCGTGCGCTGGCAAAGGCATTGTAAACGTGCCTCCGCATGCCCTGAGCAGGCAACGAGCGATACATTAACAATTCACAAATTACAAAACGCACGTTTATAACACCGTGTGCGATACTTAAAAAGGATTTGTTTATTACAGGTGACGTTTCGGGCAACGGCCCGGCCCTCCTAAACTATTTTTAAGTTGGTGTATGCATAGTTACATATCGCGTTAAACCAACAACCTTTTTTGATCAAACATACACTGCGAAACACAATAATAGGTTTGACCCTTTCTGGCAATAAAGCAGGTGTTAAGGAATCAAGTCCGGAATTAACCACGCACGGTACTTACTTGTCTTACTTTGATAACTGGCACAAAAAAAAGGTCCCATGACACAACCGTGCGCTGTTTGAAATATCAATGGGACGCATTACCTGCAGAGCTGCCCGGGCTGGTGCTGAATGGAGGTGGCGCATGCAGGCCGGGCGCCGTGCCCGAGGTCGCGCTGCCGCCATCGCCGCCGCCATCGCCGTCGCCAGACAAGGCCTCGCCAAGCTGGCCGGCCGGAGACGAGGCAATCTCTGCCAACACCTCCAGGTCCTTGAGGATCACCTGTGCGTGCCAGCGACAAAGGTGTACCGCAAACCCCCCCCCCCCATCCCCGTGAGTGCTTTCACAGACAACATACATACGCACTCTTTGGTTCTATTCGGTAAAGTCACGTAGGTAAAAAAATAATAAAACAACAAAAATCACGACGTTTCGGCCACAACACAAGTGGCCTTCATCAGGTGAAGGGACCGTACTGTCACGAAGACAGCGTAGGAATTAAGAAAGTCAAGCCATGTCGCGTCCTTTAAGCTGTGTGGGAGGAAACCAAACGCTTTGACAAAGGAATTAGCATAAAGTGCTGATAGAGCACCTAACACGAGGGGGAGGGGAGTTTACAAACGTTGTTTTGAAGGGAAATAACATACATACGCTCTTCCTTCCGATATCAGGAAGCGACTGGAGCTATGCAGTTTTAAATCTCAATTGACAAGTAATTTCTTTAGAACTGTGTTGCCCTTCCACCACACCTCCGATTAGCACGGTTGGGTACGTACGGTGCGAAAAAAGTTCAACGTACGTACATTTGCACTCCCTTCATCTTTTTTTACATAAGTACGTACGTTGAAGGCCGGCGCGGCACACGACAAACACCATGCCCGGCCCATTCTATACTTTTATTTTTAAGGCCACAGACACGCACGGCGTTACTGGCGAACGCGTCGAGTTTCACGATAGGCGTGCGTCGTGCACACCACCGCCAGGAAGCAGCAGGGGCGGCGGCGGCGGCGACATCGCAACGTAAATTCGCTTGACCTTAGTCTGCACATTCGAAGGTTAAGAAGTCCACCAATTCAATGCATGAAGGCTCGCTCACCTCATCCGAGTCGTCCGACAGCGTCTTGAGCAACACCGGGAAGAGTCGGTCCGTGTGACGGAACATCTACGCACGCCTCGAAGCACAGAGACGCGTCGCTCAACGGGGCAACAGGACGCCAAAACCGAGCACAGTCTGTGTGCCACGTACGAGTTCAGAATCAGAATATTTACTCCTACTGGAGGAATCCGATGAGCTGTAAAAGCTCTATCTCACAGATGTCCAGTAGGGGCACGGGGTAAGAACGTTACAACAACAAACAGTACAAAAAAAAGATGAAGGGAGTGCAAAGTACACGTAGCTGAGAAATGCCATGGCACAGACGATGCTTTGTTATAGCTGCATCGATCGTGAGAAAAGTTGGGCTGATACCCGTTTTTAATCTAGAGTTCATTTATTGGTGGGGGTGTAACGATGATGTGTCGACTTCATAAATCGATAACGAACCTTAAAGCCAACGAACCCCTGCATCCAATCGCGTGTAAGGGAGCACATCCTTTCGTGACCGCAGTGATTCATATTCTTGGTTCTTTCGGTAAAGTCACGTTGAAGGGAAACAATAAAATAATAAAAAAACGTATTGTTTCCCTTCAACGTGACTTTACCGAAAGAACCAAGAATATGGAGCACATCCTCTTTTTGTCTTATGCAAACGACACGTTCACATTACGCTCGCGTCACGCCTTCGGCTAACGGAGGGGACAAAACGAGGTGCAAACAAATGAGAATCAACGCAAACGCGGACAGTAAAAAGAAACAAAGTCGATTCTTGAATCGAAGCACGGACCCAAATGAAATAATTCCGGTGAATCATTGTACCCTTACTCTCTGAACGCAGAGCGCCACCGCCACGCGGTTGTGCCATACTCCTCTCCGATCCGTTCTCGGGTCGTACCGCGCACTCTTCGGAACCCAAGTCCGACATTTCGCCCCCGAGTACCGGGTGCTTCTACCCGGAACTGATGCGAGCAGCTCGCACACGCTCTCCCTCGGGTTACACGGCGTTGCCGGCCGAGGCTGGAGTTGCCGGTCCTTGACAATTGGTTCGGCATCTCCACGGAAACACGAGCGACTGCTTCGGGTCGTCAGTCTCATTGCTGACGACGACGATTTTCGTGACGGAACGGATTCTTGGAGGGGACGCCGCTCAAGAACGCGACGATATCCCATGCGGGGATACTAGCGTGACTCGCACCTCCGTTTAGCACCGTTGACTACATACACGGTGCGAAAGATGTTCAACGTACATACAACGTACATACAACGTACACACAACGTACACACAACGTACATACAACGTACACACAACAAACGTCGCAACGATAGTCTGTTTGTTCTCCCCCGCCCGCCGGGGAGAACCCAGCGGTGCGTCAGTGGGGCTACTTGCCTTCCTCGGCGTTTTCGTGTACAGGCTGTAGATCCACTTGAGGACGGCGATGCGAGTGAGCATGGAGTCGTGGGAGAGGTGGTGAGCCAGGACGTTGACGATGCTGTCCAGGTCTAACCTCACGGCCAAGCTGTCGGAGGGGGCGGGGTGGGGTGGGGGGTATGTCAAAGCGCACGGAGGGGATATGGCTCAACCGTTTGTTGAATCAACTCGCGTGCTTTCGGTTCATACGATGCGGTTTCATAGCATTTGCCACGCGAACTCCGGTCATCCTCGCAGCGGCGGATTTTGGCTGGCCATCGAACAAAGACGGTCACCGCATTGCGCGCGCTTTTTGGATGCTCTTCTGGAGCCAGCTGGAACGCCCTTACTTCCGAGCTATGCACTTTTAAATCATCTAGATTGAAAACTGATTTCTTTAGAACTGCTTTTTGTGTTCAGTTTGTTGTCCTTCCCCCGCACCTCCGATTAGCACGGTTGGCTAGATACGGTGCGAAAGAAGTTCAATATACGTACAAATAAAAGGAGACCGAACAAAAGAGAAACTGCAACTAGAGACGGTAAAAAAAATTTGTTTACATGAAACAGCCGATTCTTGAATTGAAACACAGCCAAGAATTTAAATAATTGGTATGAATCATTGCACCCCTACTCTTCGAACATCAAGCGCCACACCGCTGCGCAGGAGTTCGCGGTTGCAATTTTTCACATTTGGAAAAAAAAATCACAAAATTGTCTCTTCTCGAACATTGCCAGGGTTTCACAATTCCCTATACTGTACCATGATCTAATGGCAAAACACACTGCAGGACTTGTCCGCAATGCCGCTTGTTCTAATGGACCCGATAAATCCATAATTACTTCTTTAACCCAGAGACATTGTGTAATCCTGGGCAAAAGAGTCCGAGCACAAACACCCTCACAGCGGCATCTTGCATGTAAGCCGAATTTCTTTCGCACCGTACGTAGCCAACGGTGCTAATCGAAGGTGCGTGGCTGGGGGGGGGGGGGGGGGGGGTGGGGACGACAAACTAAACACACACACACACGCACACACACAAAAACGCACGCAAAAGAAATGTACTCACGATTCCATGTCAACCTCTGTCGATGCCTCCGGTGCGCCGTGCTGGGACTCCTCCAGGCTGGCTGGAGGTGGGCACACGGCAGTAAGCAGGGTCACAGCTATTGCGCTTCGATGCTCTTGCTTAATTTTTTGTTCATTTGTTTTGCTTTTAGAATTTTGGCGACTCGAGGTCACCTCTTGCGAATGAGACTCCTCCTGGCCTCTTGGGTTCTCACCCGGTCACACAAAAAGAATCTCCACTTGACCATCGCTTGCCCCCCCCACCCTCACATCCCCAAACGTGTCGAAAAAACGATTCAGAATTTATTTCTCGGCGAGGCCACGCAATAATTAATCTGGCCAACGTTTACGTGGCAAGACCCACCCACCGTTGTCAAGCGCCGATACATTTTTTTATTTTTCCACTCGCCAATGCTCGCAACCAAATGTGGCGATTAAGATACGACCTCATTTGGCCAAGTTCCGATTCGGAGAATAAAAAATGTGTCGGTTGGGCCTGCGACGATAATAACTCTCTGTAGCAATGCACGATGGGAAGTGCCTACCGCTTCGTGTTTTGATAAAATTTCAGAAGCGGTTCTTTAAACTATACTTCTACGGGCCATTCTACAAATAAACGAGCATCCCCAAATTTAAGATGAAAACAGGAAGACTTCTTGACAATTCTGCCTATCGCATGAAGCTGGCTGTTGTAATCAACAGCAAAACGTCATACTCTAATTGTAAATCTTGTGGGTTTTACTCTCCGACACACCGGTGTGCTGAAGTAGTAACTAATTGGCACGTTTTGTTGACGTGACAAACCTTACCAATTGGCCGTGTCGGGTGGTGGCGGGTTCAACGACACGTTTATATTTACGCGATCTAACCCATAAAAACAAAAAACCTTTATTAGGGGATATTGCTCGTGAAAGCCGACTGCTCCTACTTTGTGTCCAACAAAGTGTTTCTAACGGACTCGTGTGACCACGACGTCGAATGCACGATTAGGAAATAAATCCGGACAAAAGAAAGGCAAAAAAAACACATCAGAGAGAGAGAGGGGGTGGGTCGGTCTGCCGCTGTGTGGCATCGCGCGACCGTACCTTCAGGCTGCGGCTGAAGGGCGACACCGGTGCCGGCTTGAGCCGCGAGCGAAGGGCACACGGGCGAGGGTGGCACGGCATCCAGGTCATCCTCGGGCAGCACCAGCCTCATGAGGCTCAGGTTACACGCACTCGCCGCCTCCTTAATGTCTTGGGGACGAGCTCGGAATCCGAACGGTTGGCGCAAATGCAACAAACAAGAGCGGCATACATCCAGTGGACGGGCAACGTTGAGCCAACGTTGTGCCAACGGTTCCAGCCACAGGATGCCAACGTTGACGCAACGTTGCATGCATACTGGGTACGCAACCTTAAAATGACGACATCGGCTGTACGTTGGCCCAACGTTGGCCCAACGCGTTATTTTATGATCCACAAGTATCGAAAATGTGATGGACGGCGTGAGCTAGGTTGGGCCAACGGTTCCATCAACAGGATGCAAAAGGTTGACCCACCGTTGCATGCCTACTGGCTACGCAACCTTCCAATGATGACGTCTGCTGTCTGGTCGGATCTTGGCCTTTGACGTAAATGGTCAGGTTGGAGGTGTTTATATTATAGTTTATATGTGGTAAACAAAACGGAGTGATTAAATATCGTATATATATATTTTTTAAATGGCAGTACAGCAACGTCATTGCCCAAGTAGGATGGCCTGCTCCAATTGAAGATGGACTTGGCTTAACCACAAGCTGGAGGTTTAGTTACATACCCCAAGCACACTGCGAATAAGATGAAATGGCAACAACTATAACCCCACCTCTGGCGACCGGTCTTACCGGCACCCTACAAACTCAACGCATCCATAACATTACCTACGCACGTCACGCGCGTGCCGATTTTGCGTAAACGATTTCCCTGTGTGGCACCTTCGGATTCTTGCAGTATTTAAGGGGCTTTATAAATCCAAATAACGATTGCTGTGCTTGCTAACCCAGGAACGCCTCACGACTCCTTTTCAAGCAGACGTCCTGTCAAGTTTTCGAAGCAAGGGACATGAGGACCGTCATGTGCAATCCTGATTAAGTACATTTTTTTTAACTTAGGACCACGATACCGGCACACCAGTGGTCTAGCCTTCTTCGAACGATGTCACGGTTCATGCGCCCACAGTATTCACCAGGGCGGCCTGCCGGATCCGAACTGGGAAACCTCCGCAGCAAGTGACCAATGGCGCTGCAGCTGGGCCACGACACATGATAACGATTATTATGGATGCCACGGTGGCGAGATGTTAACCACCTCGCCTGGTGTGCAGGAGGTCGTGGGTTCTATCCCGGCCCTGACGCTGTGTATGTTTGGAGTTTGCATGTTCTATCTCCCCTTGGTCACGTGGATTTTTCTCCGGGTCCTCCGTTTTTTTGCCTCCATATTTAGAATCAACATCGCCCGCTTAGTGCATACTTGGCTGCCATAAATTTCCACGTGATAAGTCACTTAGTTGAGCGATCATTTGTGATCGTCAGGTCGCTTCTGAAAAAGAGCTGTATAGCTCGCTGGGCTTTACCTCGTAAAATACAAATAGTAAAATTGAAGTACTCCTTAGACTTTCTCCTCCTCGTGGGTCGGGGGAGGTAGTAGCTGTTTACACAGTGCTGTAGTTAAGGGGACCTGTGCAAAAATGATGCTGTGTGTTTGGGGGGGGGGGGGGGGGGTCTCTTGGGGAAAAGAAGCTTTAGCCGAGGGGTAGGACATTACAGCGACTCCTCTACTTATGAACATTCGACTTATTAACTTTCAGAGACACGAACAAACCTGTCCTTACGTCCAGTTGCCTGTTCGGACCGAGAGTCGTATGTTCAATATATGGCGGTGATGGCATCTACATCTGTAGAACATGAAGAACCAGTGGCATCTACATCTACAGGAGATTATACAACATTTTAAAGCCATTCCCCGTGTTAAGTGCACATGCCGTACAACACGTTTGGAATCGACAGGAGTAAAGTTGGACTTGCGAACAAATCGACTTACGAACAGACCTCTGGAACCCAACCCGTCCGTAAGTAGAGGACTCCCTGTAATTTAGTTTCAGATATCAGTATTATTATTACCGTAGCCAAACTGTCATGGGCCAGTGTTAAACGGGGGGGCAAGCAGGAGGATACTCTTCCTCTTGGGGTCATCACTGCCCAGGCAGGGCAGCACGGCGTTGAGGACTCCCGCAGCGAAGGGCAGCATGAGGCGGCCCGCGAGCTGCACGAACTCCCGGATCCACGTCATGGCCGTCAGCTGGATGAGCTCGTCTTGACGGGACGCGAGATGGGGACAAAAGCAACACCGTGGCCGCGTTTATTTTCTTTTATGGCCGGCCGGAGCATCCGTGTGTGGCTTGCCCCGCAGACTCGTGCGCCGGCGCGAAGAGCGCTTGCTGCGCTAGCACGCGGCTCAAAAGAATCATCGCGAGTGTCGTTGTGGAGAAAATAAATAAGCAGACACTGTATGTATGTTCAACTTCTTTTGCACCGTACGTAGCCAACCGTGGCTCCTCCGAGGTGCAGGGGAGGGACAACTGAACACAAAAAGCAGTCCTAAACTAAAACAAGTTTTCATTTTAGATTTCAATATAGATTTAAAAGTGCACAGCTCCAGTGGCTTCCTAATATCGGAAGGAAGAGCGTTCCAGACGGCCGCAGACGCGCATCTGAAAGAGCAGCAATGCGGTGACCGTCTTTGTTCGATGGCCAGCCAAAAGCTGCTGCTGCTGCTGCTGCAAGGATGACCGGAGTCCACGTGGCGATGGTTCATGCGGCTTGACGAGGATCCGCGAGGTACTGTGGTTGATTTGCGGCAAGCACTCTGTGTGTAACGCGTGCGATCAAATGTGCAGGGTGGGGGGGGGGGCTGCTCCAGTGGCAGTGGCCAGTAGTAGTGGCTGTGTTTGCTGCACGCTAGCAGATGGAATTGACCTGCACTTTAGTCGGGCCTGGGTACAAAGTTTGGGGAAGAAGTCACGTGTGAATTGTGTTCAAACGGCATCGGCTGCGATGAGTTCACTCACCGGAGGCTTGGCAGTGCACGAGCACAATGTTGGCCATGTTGCTGTACTTCACGTTGGCCGGGTTCTTCTTTATATCCTTGAGGAACTCTCCAAGCACGCACTCGCACCTGCGCACGCACGGCAGAGCGCAGCGGTTGGCGAGAAATACGCAGCAGCAGAGATCAAAAGGGACACCTTCAATGCGTAGCACAGCATCGTGGAGGGACGTGCAGGGTCTACCATGATTTGCAATCGCTATATCTCTGCAGCCACGAAAGGGCGGGGCATAGAATTTCAAATGATTACCGCGAGATGCCTCCCCCAGTGCACAAACAGCCCCTAGCCTCAGTCATTCGCAAGATGGCGCCACCGCAACACAAGGGGCGTTTTGCGTTCTGCAGTTCGGCAAGACTGAATCCGTAATTGCGCTGGCACTACACTCTTGGCCTCCAAGATCCCCAGACATCACCACACCCAAGACTTTTTCTTGTGGGGATACGTCAAAGACCCGTGGTGTTTTTGTGCCACCATCAGCGACTAATCTGGATGACCTCAAAAACTGAATCACAGCAGCGGTGACTTCAGTGGAAGAGAAGACATTTTGAGAGGCGTTTGGGACGAATTCAACTATCGTCTCGATGTTGTCCGTACAGCAGGTGGAGGGCACATAGAGCATTTATAAAATGGTCGGTAAAACTTGATAACTCATTAAACCGTTTGTAACTTTTTGTGGAATTGTAACATGTTGCCATCGTGAAATATACTGCTTTGAAATTGGGTCCATCTTTTTGAAACACCCTGTATAATGTTGAACTTCTTTCGCACAGTACGTAGCCAACCGCGCTGATCGTGTCACATTCACCCACAGCAGCTCTTATGCGACGTACTCAAGATTGCAGAAGGATGGAAGAATCAGCGTTAATCGCACCGCAGATATCCATAAGAATAAATTATTAATCGGGAGACATCCAATTGGTCCCAGAAGTAATCATGTATTTGTTGCAATGATGCCTTGGTTTGTAAGAGCATTATACTGTTTGCCTTTTGGCGTTCTTTGGTCTGACACTGGTGAGACTAGGCCCTAAAGAAGGCTGTCTCTGGTGTAGGCCAATCAGTTTCAAAGGCAATGCCATATATTATCAGACCATGTGTGTTTGTATGTTCACCACAAGTACGTGTGGTTAATGCAGAATTGATTCCTTGCAAAACGGTTTCTATACGGTGTTTGAACATCTTAACACCTATATTATTGGTTCTTTCGGTAAAGTCACGTAGAAGGGAAACAATCAAATAATAAAGATATAAAACAACAAAATTCTCACGAAGTTTCGACTGCAACACAAGCAATCATCATCAGGTGATTGCTTGTGTTGCAGTCGAAACGTCTATTTTTTATATTTTATTCTTTCCCTTCTACGTGACTTTACCGAAAGAACCAAGGATATGAATCGCTGCAGTCACGAAAGCTTTAAATCAAAATCTTCACACCGGTTTTATTGCCATGAAAGGTAAAATCGATTCTTATTTTTTCGTACTTTTTTACTGGCAAAAAAGTTCCCATTAGGTGAAGAACTCTCGCCATGCACAGCGAATACACTGCCCATCTCCCAATTTTGATATTTTTACGTGCGTCTTGATTTTGTAAGCAGGACTATCTTCATTTATATTCTTGGTTCTTTCGGTAAAGGCACGTAGAAGGGAAACAATAAAATAATAAAAATATAAAACAATAAAATTTAGACAAAGTATTTCAATGCCCTCTTTAGTAGGGGAGAGTTTTTACTAAAGAAATACACCGATTAAAGTAATTGAATTTGCCGATTACAAAGCCATTAATAGCAAGCGATGGAAATTAAATGTGTACAACTTGCTAAATTTTAAAACAATGGGATTGTTGAGCTAGCCATCTGATGCAAGTATAGTTGATACACGCAATAATTAAGTGTGGCAATGATGAAGATGAATGATGGTTGAGTAATGAAGCTGATGATGGATATGATGATGAATTATTGATTATGGCTGTGACGGTGATAATAATATGATGAACATTATGAGGGATTTATATGACAGAGAGCTCCCGCACCTCCAATTTAGCATGGTTGGCTACGTATGGTGTGAAAGAAATTTAACATACATACGTTGAGGTCGAGAATATATTTCCATCGATGCTTTATTGCAGGCCCGACTTGGCAGTGTGCTAACAACTGTGCTACCACTCCCTCTGCTGGAAGATTATGGTTCTACAGTAAATAATTTTAATTCGTAACATGCTGCACAGCATTCACTCTCTCTCAACAAGAGAGAACGACTAAGAGCAACAAGGAACCACAGACAAGCACGAACAGTAGCCACGCGGTGAGCCGGTGCCAAATTGCCCCCAAGCTCTGCGGTCCTCTACATATTGAGGCGTCAACGGCCAATTCAAGAGTGTTCATGTGCACGGAGGAAATTGGAGCACCCGGACAAAACCCACGTGCGCGCGAGGGGGAAACGCTCTATCCCCATACAGAGTCCACGCTTTGCCGCACTGCCTTCTCCTGGCGGCCAGGGTAAGGGAGCTTCACAACGTCTGTGTGCGATTCACCAACCCTCGCCTCCACAGAGCTGGACTGCAGGCGAATACATGTAATGTATACACGGGACGAGAATGTTCACAATAATGCATTTTTTTTTGGTTAGATCGCGTAAATATAAATGCGCAATTTTTTTATGCGATATAACCCACACACAAAAAAAAAACCCTTGACTATGAATAATATTGGTCGCGAAAGCCTACGAGGCGTTAAACGGACGAGAACCGGTTTGCAAAGTTTGCAATGCGCGCCGTGCAACGAGTGCCAATTGCGCGGAGCGAGGAGTGCAGAACGTTGGGGTGGGTGTTGCTGCGCAGTGCGGATGGCAACTTCCGTGGCGAGCGGGCGAGCGAGCGAGCGAGTGAGCGAGCGCGTTGCTGTCGGCGCGACGGCGCGGGAGGGCGGGAGCGTGCACTCACATGCGGCGGATCTCCTTGCTCTGGTCACCGAGGATCTCGAAGAGGCCGTCGAGAATTTCGGGGAGGAAGCCCAGCAGCTTGATGTCCGGCACCGACTCGAGCACCGCGATCTGGGGGAGCGAGCGGCGCCGAGTCCGTCAACGCCGCGCTCATCGTCCACGCTGAGTAGCTATCAGGAGCGGGCCATGTGGCCGATGCGGCCGGCCGCCCGACGCCACAAATGGCGCGTCGAAGATTCGACGGCCTGCGAGTGGTGCGGCCATGAATCCCCAAACCATCGATCGCATCGTAAACACCCCGCCACTGCCATCTTCACTCTTTCAAAAGGAGGAATGAACGAGAGTCCCACTCTTGCTTTCGAACAAACAATGTTGAGTGCATAACAAATTTTTACCTGCCCCCTAATGAGTGGACATCTGTAGAAAAAGTCCTCTCCGAGCCCACTGGATTTCTCAAGGACAACTAAAGATTCCGACTCGGGCTTTGCGCATTCGCTGGCACGGCTGCCTGGACGAGCGCCGTGCCCAGGAAGGGCTGGCCCAAGCGCGCGCGTGTCGGCTCACCCAGGAGATGATGAACTGGCGGCCGTACTGGTTCTGCGTGTATATCCTCTCCCGCAAAAGCGGCACGAACGCCACAAGGTCGAACTTGCTGCTTTCCGTCACGATGTCCTGCGCACGTGCAAACCAACAAATTTTGTCAAAACGTCGCCCCCACCCCCACCCCCCCCCCCCAAATCATCATTACGTTGATGGAAAGATGAAAAGAATGTGCACAGGCCTATGTGCGGTAGTTGTTTTGGTAAACCGCCACGTGGACTCCGGTCATCATCATCGCAGCAGCAGCGGCTTTTGGCTGGCCATCGTACAAAGTCGGCGGTCACCGCATCGCACGCTTTCAGGTGCGCTTCTGCGGCCGCCTGGAATGCTCTTCCATTCCGATAGTAGGAAACCACTGGAGCTGTGCACTTTTAAAATCTAGATTGAACAACCTCTTTTCTTTAGAACTGCTTTTTTGTGTTTAGGTTGTTGTCCTTCCCCCACTCACCTCCGATAAGCGTCGTTGGCTACATGCAGTGCGAAAAGAAGTTTAACATACAAACACATGCATAGTAAATACTCAACTTTTTTTTCAACGGTGGCAAAAAGTCCATCGTGGTAATAACAACAATAAATATAATCGGTGTTAAACTTCGATGAGTTTTTTGTCATTGCATGCCACTCCGCGTGTGCGACTCGTCAGGGCGTGGCTCGGAAGTTCAGGCAATGGAGATCGAATGACATTGCATTCAGTATATATATGAAACAAACACTATTCTCAATCATCATTATCATCAGCATCAGGCACGATCAATCCACTGCTGGATGGTGGCCTCCCCAAGCCACCACCATAATTCACAGTCCTGTGAAGGATCCCACGTTGCTCGGGCAGGCGAGCTCATGCTCCCCTCTACAGAATGACTCAAAGCAGACCTCACGCCGATGCGGTCATCGTTGTTTTACACCAAATAGCAACGATGCACACTCTATAAATGTTGCCGCTGGAGTATCGGGTTTTAAAACTGAAGTATTTTATTTTTGTTAAACTAGGTAAGGCCCGCTGAGCTATGTAGCTCTTTTTAATAAGCGACCTGGCCATAAATGATCGCTCAACGAAGCGGCTTATCGCCATGTGAAATTTATGGCAGACAAATACTAGAAACACACGTTGATTTTAAATGTGGAGGGAAAACAGGAGGACTCGTAGAAAAATCCACGCGACCCGGGGAGAACACGCAAATGCCAAATATACAGGCGTCAGGGTCGGGATCAAACCTACGACCTCCAGCATTCCAGCCGAGCTAGTTAACATCTCGCCACCGTGGCGCTGTCCGGCGAGTCTGTCCAGGACAAACTATTGGTGAGATAATAATTTTATTTAATAGCCATAACCTCCAGTGCTTTGGGGTAGGCCAATTTTGCAGTTCGTTAAAAAAAAGAAAAACTCCCAGCACCGTCACACCCACCTTTAGCAGCCTGTCGAGCAACTCAGAGCCACTCTTCACATTCGGATCTGGATCGGCAGCCAACTGCACAGACAAAAAAAAAAAACCTCATGAATTATTTTAAAAAAATTATTCCGCTCGTTTACCCAGGACAATCGGGGTGTCTAAATCCCAATTCTGTGGGTGTCGTGATTCAAAATCTGGCAAAATTTTGGACCATGACGCCGACACACAACGGCACTTGTCAAGAACGACGTCACGGGATCTTTGACATCTGGTGTGAAGCTGACAGAATGTAGGTTCGGTGTTCATACACCTCAAGCAGTAACTCAGGGTGACCCGCTGGATTTGAACCATGAACCCCTGCAACAAACGGCAAATGCAATACCGCGAGGCTTTGTCACCGTCCCATTATCGCGTGCACAATATTATACAAATTTATATATTTGGTGCAACAATGGTGGAGAAATGGCCGAGCCGTTCGCTATTTTGTTGCATAGAAACGCAGTTGAAATTCGGCAGGCAGCCCTGGTTAATACTGCGGGTGTATTATCCAGAAAAACTAGAACCGGTCTGCTTCACAGTGGACGTTAAACAGCAGGCCAAACTGTGTGCCGGCATCATGACTCACAATTTGATAAATTTGCAAAATGAATCGCTAATTTACCATAAATACAATACTAATCTTGAAGCATGCAAAATGTTACGTGCGAATTTTAATAGTCAAACGACTCACTAAGCTCTAAATTTGTGCATAATTGCCACCGATAACAACAGAGCACCGAGGTGCTGTGGCCCTTGGATCACATGATGTGTCACTTGCCACCTTTAATTGAGTTGAACAAGCTGAGGAACAAAGAGATATCAGGGACAGTTTCAACTGTAACCTTGCGTCACCGATATGACAAAACCATGAATTGCAGACGAAGCAAACAGAAAAGTCAGAAGCAAAAAAAAAACAACCGAATCACGCGAGCAGTCGAGCATTCTACGCCGACGTAAACCGACGTTCATAAAGTCAGATGATGATTGGCCACAAGCATCATGGGGCGGGTGGGGGGGGGGCTGCCCTCTGACCTTGCTGAGTCCGTCGAAGAGCTCGCAGAAGTGGGGGAGCACGGAGCCGCGCGCCACCTTCACGATGTTGTAGAGCGCCTCGCAGGCGTAGTAGCGCAGCCGGCTGTCGGGGTCGTTAAAGCATGTCAACACCGGCTCCATCAGCTCCTTGAGGTAGACGCCGTAGTCCTGCACACGGCGTCGCACGCGGTTACACGTAGCGCTACAAAAACAGGGTCACACGCAGTTACACATGGCCCTGTAAACAGCGTCACACGCGGATACACAGCGCTACAAACAGCGTCACACCCAGTTCCACAGTGCTACAAACAGCGTCCCACCCAGCTACACACAGCACTACACACAGCGTCCCAACCAGCTACACACAGCTTCCCACCCAGCTACACACAGCGTCCCACCCAGCTATACACGGCGCCACACGCAGCGCTACGCACGCTATTATGAGGATACAAACGGCGCGTTACCTTTCCCAGCGCAATAGCACAGGCGGCAAGGCCGATGAGGCCGCCCTTGCGACTGTGTGGGTGCAGGGAGAGCGCGAACTCCTGCGAGAGGATGGCGATGATGTGCTTGATCTGCGCCGTGTTGTTCTGCTGCACGTAATCTCGCACCAGCCTGCGGTGAAAAAATCCCCGCGTCGTTACCCCGAGTGATCTTCCCAAGGGTGGCAAGGGTTTTCCTGTCTCTGCTGGGAAAATGTGGAATGTGGTCTGGGATGTGTGACAAACTAATGGACTAATCGCTTTGTTTTGATAACTTTTTTTTATTGTTTGTGCTTTTTACTTGGTAGTGTGTGTGTATGTGTGTTGGGTTCTTTCATACCGTGCGTAGCCAACTACATTCAGGGACTCCTCTAGTTACGAACATTCGACTTACGGATTTTCAGAGATACGAACAAACCTGTCCGTATGTCATGCAGATGCCACGTGAAATAACAGTGGCATCTACATCTGCAGAACATGAAGAACCGGTGGCATCTACATCTACAGAACATGAAGAACCAGTGGCATCTACATCTACAGAACGTGAAGAACCAGTGGCATCTACATCTGCAGAACGTGAAGCACCATTGGCATTTACATCTACAAGAGATTATAAAACTGTTAAAGCCATTCCCCGTGTTTAGTGCACATGCCGCACAACGTGCTTGGAATCGACCGGAGTATAGTTGGACTTACGAATAGACCTCTGGATCCCAACTCGTTCATAAGCAGAGGAGTCTCTGGATATGGGATTCGGTCCGAATATATAATTCATGTACAGCATTGCGGGATGCTGCCGAGGGGAACGGTTTGTACATGGGGTGGTGTTGTTTATGCCGGGTCTTGAAAATTTGATTTTAAAAAATAATAATAATTAAATGAAAATAAAAAAGCGTCATCCGAAATTATGCTAATCTATGTAATTATGCGCATAAATTATGTCAAATGTGATGATGTAATCATATGAAGTTGTGCTAATGCATGCCGTTATGATAATTAGGCTCTAACTCGTTGTCGAGGGTCGTATTATCAATCAGGATAATACAATTAATTATATGAAGTTATGCAAGTGTGATGTAAGCATGCTAATTTAAGCTTGGCTTCGTTGTCTAGGGTTGTATTATCAATCGGTATAATACAATTATTCTCGCTTTAACATTTACTGATTATGTCTTAGTGTGTTTGTGTCAGGTCTACAAATTCAAATCTCACCGCAGGATGCAGTGGGGAAACCCCAAGGACTCATCTCAACACCCATTACGGACAGGTGGCTGGTTGCATAAAACATCTTAAGTGGATATGCTCCCTTAATTTACATTGATTTATAACGGAAACTATGGGAAACGTTCGCCTAAGTTGTCCGATGCAACCAACCCCAGAGATTAATTTAACATGAAACATACCTGTCAACCCATACGGTTTACCCGAAATTCTTGTACGGAAAAATGTACGGTAGTTCAGGTCCATACGGCGTACAGCCGTTTCAATAAGAGCAGAACTTTTTTGTTTGGATATTTGTTTGTGTTTCTCCCTTTTGATGGGACTTTGTAGGATAAACGTTGAAATTTCTAAGAGCACGGGGTGACCAATAAGATCTGAATTAGCCTGCAATAAGGTCGGGCACTGATAACGGGTTGACAGGTATGTGGCCTTTAACAGACTTTTAGGGCAAGTGTTGTTGCGAGCACCTATGAAGGCCGGCATGGCACACGAGGGGGTGGGTGGCCAACACCACACTCGGCCGCCTTTGCCTCCTCAGTGGCGATGTTTGCAAACCACACCAGGTACTGATTTGAGGCTGAGTCAACCTCGGTGAGGCCCACGACCGATTCAGAAGATCGTCACTGGTGTTGGCCGTGAGCAGGAATCGAACTCGGGTAGCCATGAAGACATCCACAACCCCAATCACCTGGACCCCCACCTATCCCATCTCCCCCCACCCCTGCCTCCCCCCAGTGAGGCGGGGGGGGGGGGCAGGGAAATATTTTATAGAGCTCCACCCAGGACAGCTCCAGTTGAAATAAAGCCCTGCACGGTTGGCTACGTACGGTGCGAAAGAAGTTCAACATACAGCACGAACATACTGCCCATAAACTAACACCACCCATAGACTCAGCACTGCACCACTCCCCATTATCACGGTTGGCTACGTACGGTGCGAAAGAAGTTCAACATACATACGTACAAGATGATGGTGATAATAGTGGTGCATTGATGATGATGTTGATGCAGACGATGAATTAACAAAAATGATGGTGGTGGTCGTGAAGTTGATGATGGCGGTGGTCGTGAAGATGATGATGATGATGTTGATTAGAGTGATGGCGATATAGGCGATCATGCGGATAGATTCTGGCTTTGGATGCCAGGAGCCATGGGTATTCATTTATTAACTCCAGTAAATAATTTACCTGGGGAAAATAAAAAAAAATCCCTTGAGATGGAACATCTTGCTTGCAAGGGTGTCCAGGCTTTCAATCGGCCGATACATTGCAAACACATCATGGCGTAACGTATACAAACGTACGCGAGTCGGACGGTTAAGTCCCGAATAGCGCAGTTTTTTTTTTTAAATCGCTGCACCTGCCTTTAGGCGACTGGCACAACAAAACTGCACGTGCGTGTGTGTGTGCAGCCCTACAGGCAACATCGACTCTACAACTGCCACATTGTACGCCAACACATTCTGCAACTTCCTCTCTTATTTTCCGCCATTACCGATCAGCCAGCTTTGGACTGAGCACCTCTGGACGAAGGGGGGAAAAAAGAGCGTCAAAGCTAATTGGGGCTCTCTCAGCTGAAATTAAACGTCTTTGTCGATTGTGAGTCGTCAGTTTTCGAATTCCTGTAATTGACGATGCCAGCCTTGTTCCGCGAGGTATGAATGTGTATGATATTTTTTTTAGGTTGGCCAACGGTTTGCCATCCTGTAAGAGAGGAAAACATGTTTGTTCCGTTGATGAACGATAATTTTTTTAAAAGTCACTTAGGTGGACAAAATGCCTCGGGCACCGAACACTCCTGCCAGCGGCGGCGTTACACGATGCCAACAACGTACGCATTAGTGGAGATTCAAATTAATTATGTACTCAATAAAAAAAAACCACTAAATTCTGCACGACAGAGCCATGAGCTCGCGGCCTAACTTGTGAACTATTTCAGTCTGCACTGTGTTGCTGGAGGGCATTGATTTGTGCTGCGCCGAAACTGCTCTCTATGGTGCCGCGACGTTACGTAATTATCTCGAAAGTGGTGTGGCTGGGACACATCCTTCTGTATTCTGTGCTACACGCACACACACACGGGGCAATGCATTGCACCGTGCACGTATCTTAGCCAACGCTATGTATGGTAGGTATCCTGCACCACGCTCTTCTGTCATTTGTCTTCGTGGTGTAACAAATCTCCTGAATCTTGTATACTGTACTGGCGGCTGTGTTTCCTGCAGTCATGCGGCTCGTTGACTTTAATCGTCCTTTGTTATAGTAGCATGCCAGACTTTATATCGCCAAATACCGTATTCTACGAAATATAGGCTCTCTTTTCCCCTGTATTTTAAGGCAAAACTCTCGGTTGCATCTTATATTCTGGTAGGTGTGTGCGCATGACAAGATTTGTATAACTTTATTGATACCGGGCACAAGTCTGGGTTGCGTCTTACCCCGGGGCATCTTGGAATCCCGAGAAATAAGGTACTAATTATTGTGCTGCGCTGTCCAAGACTAAAGTTCTCTGCTGTCGCGACCTCGGAGTGGAACTCTCGCCCCCTTTGCACATCCGCAACATATAATGCGCTCCATAGCTGCCAACCCACACGGTTTACCCGTATTCTTGTACAGAGAAATGGAGTTCAGGTCCATACGGCGTACAGCCGTTTCAATACGGGCAAAATATGTTTTTGTCTATTTGTTTGTGTTTCTCCCTTGTGATGGGACTTTGTAGGATGAACGCTGAGATGTACAAGGGCACGGGGTGAGCAATAAGGTCTGAATTGGTCTGTAATGAGGTAGGCACTGATAAAGGGTTGACAGGTATGGCACTCACTCTGACTTTCAAAAAACATCTGTGTTGGGTCAGGGCTTTCGAGCAGCCCTGAGCTTTGCTCCGTGCCTCCAAGTTGTTCACCTGTCTGCAACATTTGGCGCGTTATAAATGTCACCATTATTATTATTATTGAAGAAGACACCGAGTCCCTGGTCCATGCGTGCATTCTAGCCTCGTAGAATTAACACTGGAGGAAAAAAAAAGAGACTTAACACGAACACTCCGCTTCGAAGCCAAACAGAGCCTGCGCATTCTTGGAGCGTTGAACGTTTATCGTAAACCTTTGGACACAAACTGCCTTATTCACAGCTGCGACCTCCACCCTCCATGTGATTGAGGATAATAACTCCCGTTGTTTGCAACCACCAGATATAATGGCTCGTGATGATTACGCTACTCATAACGTGAGCCATGTGGTCCCGTTGTGAACGTGTTGAAGGGCGGCGAGGCGGAGCCGTGGTGAGATCGCGTGGCTCGCAATCTAACGGTCGGTTACACCTGTCAACCCCTTATCGGTGGTGCCTTACCTTATATTACAGACCAATTCAAACCATACTGGTCACATCGTGCACCCTTATAGATCTCAACGTTCATCCTACACACGACACTATGCAAGCAAGATGGCGGCACGCGCACAGTTGCAGCAGCTCAGTGTCTACCCGGTCGGTGCCTTGTATGGTTGTTTACGTACGCATTGTCTTGTTTACATTTTGTCGGGCGAGTAACACCTTTAGCCGGCACGATCTCCTTAAGATCGGACTACGTTACGAACGGAGAGTTACAAGCGAGTTTCTCCGTCTTCACAAGATTCCGGTGGAGTTAGCGAGGAGCCCCGGCTCTCCGTGGATTATCATCCCGGCGGGGAGGAGGCAAAGGCGGCGTAGAGATAGAAGGCAGAAGCGAGGCTGCAGGGCCGGTGCGCTAGCCAGGCTACGGAGGCAGTCACTCAAACCACCGCTGCCCAGCCTATTTCTCACGAATGCCAGATCCCTCGCGAACAAAATGGATGAACTGAGGCTACAGACTACAGCGAACAATGTAGTGAAGGACAGCTGCATTCTGCTCTTCACAGAAACCTGGCTTCATTCA